GTGAGGACATCTGTCCACTACCACCCCCACTCTGGTGTGTTTTCATAACTTTTGTGCTTGATTTATGGCATTATCGATCTCTGTCCACTGACTGTACCGATTTTCACCTTCTTTTCTTTCTCGTTTTTTTTATCTGTGACTGACATCAGCTCTTTCTCTAATCTTGGTCTTTATGTTCGCAGCCTTGGAGCAGCACAGAGACCAGCTGCAGAGTCTGAGCTGGAAAAAAGATGGCTCCCTATTGGCTACTTCCAGCAAGGTAATGTTCTTCCTGTCATTTTTTTAAATTAGTTTATCACAAGCTCAATATTGTATTAACTATTTTATATATACACATTCTCCTACGTACTAACAGACTTGTAATCTAAAAGCAGGAGGTGAAAATACCATGGGTAAAAGCAGAAATAAATGTTGATGACTAACACAACCAGGATATTTAAAAAGACTAATGTAATGTTAATACTTTAAAATAATTTAACGATTATAAATTTGAACGCTGCCGTTGTGCCAGTGATCTGAATAAAAGCTAAAGTTTAAATATATAGTTACAGCTTACGACCACTAGATGTCACCAGTTGACCACAGTTCATGCTGTGTACCTCAGTAAATGTAAAAAAAAAACAACCTCAGTCCCGTTATCTGTTCATTTATGAGGTTTCTGTATTTTGCCAGAATGTCAACAGAGGTGAACATTAAGAGTTTATTAAGAACATGTACGTACGTCTTTACAGGGGAAAATAATTAGGGTACAAACGTTTATGGTGTAAAAGACATAAAAGCCTGCTTGGTTCAGTATGACTATAGTGATGACAAAGCAGTTTAAGAAATATTTGGCGGTGGGAACTAGAGGACTAATGAAGACTGGAAAGTACAATAATTTTGCAACGCACTGCTGCTTGTGATGTGGAAAAGACAAATATCTGAAGACTGTGCTTAGAATTCTTTTTCTATATTGAAGTGATTAAGTCGCACAGGTGCAGTAGATTTATTTATCTGCCCGTCCATGATGGAAATCTGCAGGGTCTATTGGTTTCAGATGTGAGGTATTTGGAGGCCATTCAGAATTTGTTCAAGAAGCAGGTTTACATGTGTGGAGATTTGAGACTTAAAATGATAGACACGCTGTTGTAAAGAAAAACGAAAAAGCATTCACGTAGCCTTCAAGCCATGTTTAGCTGGTACAGGAGGGATAAACTTGTACTAAGACAATATTACTCAGACCAAGGCAAATTCAAATTCTATTCTGTTTACTGTTGTCAGCTGACATGATTAGCCCCTGTTTTGGTCTTCTGCTGCTGAAGCTCATCAAATATAAAACACCTGTAATTTTTAATTAGTCTGGATCTGAAGAACATCACTGTTCTTCCCTATTCTGAAGCAGGACGTAGTGACCACCTTTACAAAACTACATTTAGTTGCTACCATGTGATAGGGTGGTCTGACCACTCATGTGCGCTTGACAGCTTTGATTGTCAGGCCCGTGCCCCCTATGTTTGTGTTTGCTCTAAATAATAAGTCATTACTCCATCCATCACATGTTCCATCCAAACCTTGACATTTAATCCTGATGGGTAATAATCCTCAAAAACAGCCAGCTCAGCCTAAAAAAAAGACACCTGAAGAGAAAGACGCCTTGGGGGAAATGTGAACCCAGAACAGGACAAGGGGTCCTTGGCTGTGTTTGCCCTTTCGGTCTGTGGTGTCATTTCACCCAAAAAACTCTGTTCAATCTCTACAATCAGCTTATTAAAGCAAATAGGACCTGCCAACATGTGGGTCCAATCTCCTGTCCCTTCTGCAGGGTAAACATTGGGGTGCACTTGGGGGAGGTGGGGGAAGATGAAGGGGATACCTTGCTCCCAAAGAGCAGCAATCATGACAGGCCTCAGAGGGAGACGTGTGTTTAAGGCACACTCAGAGGTAGAGACCAAAGGCCCCATTCATTTAAGGTAGGGAAAAGGTAGTGTCAGCGGTGGTGGAGGAAAGTCTCTGTTTATCTGAATGAGGTGGAGGAATGGGTGGGGTGCTGGTTAGAGATGGGGTGTCGCTGGATTTATAGCCCACCTTTAATTTTGAAACCCTGCATATAATGTGGGCTCCACATACCGTACCGTATTTCTCAGGGTGTGGAGAAAGGGGAGACGTCCAGCAGCGACCACGGGCTGGACACTGGTAACCATGGGAGACCAGGAACATGAGGGTGGCAGCGCGATGTGTTTGATGAGTAAAGAGAGACGGGCTGGTTAAAGATTCCCACCGACCCTCTGTGTTTACATTGAAGTGAAAGTAATGTGCGGCAGACAAGCAGTGAAAACTCATTAACAGCAGCTTGAGAATGAGCCTTTGATTAAACAGCTGCTCATTTCATACGCACACACACACACACACACACACACACACATGCAGCTCATGTCAAGTCGTCCATCTGTGCATTTATGAGATGCAGCAGTGTGTGTGTTTGTGTTTATACGGGTTATTGTCGTACCAGTGTGTTTGCCTGGTGGATAAATCTCTACGTGAGTGGTCCCACACTGGTGTGTTTACACAGCACTGTGACTCCACAGTGAACAACATCAACTTTATATATTAGTCACATATAAAAGTTTTGAGCAGATACTTTCTTATTTAGACAATAAATTAATACAACAATAGTAATGACAGTAGTAATCCTCGTCATTATTGTTATATTATTTATGATAGTAAAAATAAGTCAAAATTAGCACGACAAAATATTACCTGGAAAATGAATGAAATAAAATGAAAAATATTGTTCTTTGTCAAATTTAATTGCACTTTGTAACGACTGAAACAGAAAATTTGAATAGTTAAATAATAAAGTAAAATTCACAATATAAAAGAGTAAGATTTTTTAGCCATTTTGTCGACCTCGGTCATCAACCAGCCTCATCTCAGGGCTGACCTGGAGGTCAGAGGTCGTTGTGGAACAGGTGGAGACCTGTCTGTTGGTGATCTGGTGGGAAAACATGGTTGTGTGAGTGTGTGTGTGTGTGTGTGTGGGTGGAGGTTTTGGTGGGTATGTTTTCTCTTTATTACTCTCAAAGCCTTGGCTTAGGCCCAGGTCATAGTGACCTGAAGATGTGGCCTTAGGGCGTCACATTCGTGGGTGGCCTTCACACAGACACTCGAAAAGACAGAAAAAGACAGGGTTTAAAAAACGTAAGTAATGGCAAATACATAAAATGTGAATTATTATAAGGATTAAAGTGAAGAACAAATAAGAAAAAGGTGTATTCACTGTTCTGTATGCCTCAGTACTTCACAGTACTTCACAGTACTCTGTGTAAATACGTGTCACTGTCTGATTCCTGATTCTCTTTGACGTATATTCGTTAAGTGCGGGCGAGGTTTAGTTTAGGCCCTCTGACTGACTACCTGTGATCGGCTCCGTCTGTCAGTCTGCCGCTGTGATCACAGTCACACACTCGTATTGAGTGACACGGCTGCAGACACGCATGTCCCGGTCACAGCCTGATCCCATTAGATCCCATTTCCTCTCAATCAACAAGGAGCCTCTCTGATTGGCTGCAGTGATTGATACCGAATGTGAGTCTGGGCTGGTGGGGGTCAAGGAACAGAAGGCCGCACAGGGGTCAGGATGTATGGGTGAGATGTAGAAGAAGATAATAAAGGAACTTTAGAAAATATGTTGTTTTATTCAGCAGAATACTGATGATGGCAAAATGTGAACAAAAGATTGTTTTCTAATGTATCTCTAATTTTAACTTATTGTTTTTAATAGATGTTGTTGTTTGTTTGTTGTTCCTTTTACATCCACTTATTTTGACTAACTATTGTTAGTTAATTTGTCAAGCAAGAAACCTTCCAGAAACTTCTAAAGGCTTTTTCTGCCTCATCCAAAACTTTGTTTGGGTCACGAGGTCATTTAAAACCAGACAGTCGTTTTACACCTGGACCATCTCAGCACATGACGCTCACGTTAAAGAAACAATTACAGCAACACTTGTTGTTATTACATCGCTTCACTGACTGTCCATGAATTTCTCACTGAGGATTATAAGGTGCATGAGCTAACCTCTGATGTAACACAAAAGGTTTCCAAGCTAGGACATTGTTAATCTGATTTATTACTCTGTGTTACATCGTTATGATGTACTAATAAAATTAATCACTTCCAGATTTCTTTATTTCTTTAATTCTTTTTTCATCTCTCTTTGGCTGTGCAGGACAAGATGCTGCGAGTGTTTGACCCCAGGGCCCAGCTGACACCTGTTCAGGTAAGACCTCCTAAAACGCTGCCAGCTCACAGACTGTCTTCCATTAGGAGACAAGGAAGTCAATGCAGCTTTCTGGCTTGGACTACCTTTTTAAAATTTTAAACAGCTGGGACATGTGCGAGGTAAAATCTGCTCAGCCTCTGTCACCCTGCTCTTATTCAGCATATGTAGATAGTCTTTTTTTTTTCCACGCTCCATTTTAATCATAAACATGTTGCCGATAAACCAGAGAACTCACCACTCAGAATCGGCGAGTCATGCGCTGTTGATTTATTGATAGATTTTTGGCTCTTCTTTTCCCACGGGTACCCATCCCACAGTTAACTAGTGTGACCGTGGACCTCCCCACTCACACCACTGCTCTTCTTTCCTTGTGGAAATTCTTCACCAGTGGCAGCCTGGACTCAGCCAAAAGGCCTTGGTTATACAACCGGCAGTCATGAAATGATCGGAGTGGGTTTTGGAGGGGGGAGATGAGGATACAGTGTGGGTGGTGAGGGCTGATCATCACTACAACAAATATTCTCCCATGTTACAGCCCCAGACCTCCGTAATGGTATGAACCGCTGGCGCTCACCAAGGCTAAATCTTCATGATTTCAAATACAAATAATTCTGTTAAAGCACTAAATGCTTTGGTCTTTGTGACTGTCTGAACAGAGACTTCACTCCTGCAGAAGTAAAGTAAAGCTAGCTAGATTAGCCACGTGTATGTCGTCTTACGTCTTATTCTGTCGTGGAAATTCATTGAAAAAGGGTACAGTTACAGACATGTCTGCTGTCAGTCACTTTGACAGTCAGCTGAAAAATAGGTACTAATAAATAGGATTATTTTCTTACTGTGGCACACTTACAGCCCTGTGCCGATTGTGATGTTTGGTGTGGGTGTGTGTGTGTGTGTGTTTTTGTGAAACATGAGCCAAGACAGAGCCAAGACAGAGCCAACCTGTTGGCTGCTCTCCAGTGTTGGCACCTGAATACATCAGATGTATCAGCTGACGACATGATTTTTTTCTTCTACTCCACATGAACAAAAAGAACCATTGATAGTTTTCCTTAAAAATACTTTCTAAGTTATTTGTGTGTGAAGGTATTTAGAGAAATGTTTTGTGCTGTCATTAGTTCAAACCACTGATCATTTCAGTCGCAATCTCTACATTTGAATACTGCAAATTATAGTTAGAGGTTATAATCCAGGAGGCAATAAAAAAAATGATGATGGATTTGTCAGACATGAAAACCAGAGTGGTCTGAATAATAGTCCCAGTTGTAGTTGCAGTGTTAAATAAGAGGTTGTGGTAGGCTCCAGATGGACCATCCAGCTACTGTACGCTTCACTCTCTCAGCCGTGTGTGTTGTTTTCAACCTCCTTCTTCACCACTTACTCATTAATTCTCCTGCTCTCGTCGGCACGGAGAGGAATAACGAGGAGACCTGAGTCAGCACTCTGGCCACGTCTACACGCCACACATGGCTGCACCACCTCAAACCAGAGAAAAGCAGAG